TGGGAGCGCTGCCAGGCTGCCCAGCAGTGCTCTCTGCTTGCAGACATTGCGACAGGAGCCCCTGGTTGTCACCCGCGCCGAGCAGTTCTGGGCGCCCCCGCCCTGGTTCGTGGTGGTGCTGACGGGCTAGAACAGGTTTCAGATAATGTTATAAAGCATTTACAAAGAATCATTCTGGTATCTCATCTCACCTAATCTCTTGAATAAAGTCTTCTTTTAAAAATATATCATGGGAATACTTTTTTTCTTTAAAATCTCCTTAATTTAGAAGATAACATGTTGGAAAAAATGTCCTACATTTTACTTTGTGCACATACAGTAGCTCTTCAGCAATTCACTGTATTAAGGGCATTATATTATTAAGAGAAGTGTATATCAAATGCATAAGCAAAGAAAAAAGATCTTCCCAAAGGTTATGGGAAGAAGACCTAAAAGGCTCACATTGAATTTCAGACCCACATCAAACACTTCAAGCAATAGAAAGTTTTCTATGCATATTTCACAAACAGCTAGTGGCTCCAGTTTTCTAGTGCCCTAGGTTACATTTTAATCTAAAGGCATAACACTCTCACTGTTTAAATAGATGATCAATCAGAGAGGCCATTCTTGGGTTCACTTACACTCAACATAGCCATGGTCAACCATTCAGTACCTTTGACCTGACCTTTGAACAGCAAAATGCAAAGACAGCAACAGCTGGGTTTAGAAATAAAAGCCCGAAACAAAAAGCTGAGAGAAACATTTTCATAACAATAGGAAGTGTTTCATAAAATGTTAACTACAAGTGGGAAGTAGATATTGGAACTATTACAAGATGAAACTGCTTCTGGGATTAGTTAAATTCAGAAAACGTTTAAAAAACTCATCAGAAGAAAATACACAATATCACATACTGAAAGGAAAACCTTGGAGAGGTTAATTTATTGTTATAAAAGAATGATTAGCTTTATAACAAAGGCTTATAATAGAAACTGTCTTTTTTGTTAATACTTTGCAATGACATTACCTTTGCTATATTTAGAGGCAGTGTTCTTGATATGATACTACATGCATGCAACACATATAAATATGGAGGTAATTCAATCATCCACATGCTAGCCAGATCTTATTAAATCAGCGCTTTGAAATGAATGTGACTTTTAGATCTGGCATGTGTTTGTTATTTTGTGTGGTTTTCTGGTAGTATTGTGATTAAAATACCTGTTTGCCAATTGCCTCATTTGTCTTGGTTTATCCTATTACAAGATTAAATTACAGATTTCAAACCCTTTAAGAGCACTTGTACATAAATCAAATTTTTTCTCTCTTTCTGAGATTGCATCAATTCCCAAGTGTGAATAAAGTTTAAATTTATTTCATGGGAAAATAATAGAGATCCACAACCCAATTAATATGCTCAAATAAAATGGTTTGGAAATTGTATATTAGAAGTCCTCAGTCATATGGGCCTTTGTTCATTTGTAGTGAAAATTGCTGCATCTTTGTGTATGTGGTAATTTCATTCACTTCTTGACATTCTTTTCCTGCAAAGAAATCAATCAGTCCTATAAACAATTAAACTACCAAATCATTGAAAATCCATATCCAAAACTGGATAGATCCTATAAGAGGGGAATTGACTATACCCAGAGGAAGGAATTAAAGAGAATATTTCTTGTGATCCTGAAGCATATATGTGGCCTCTGTAAGATTTCCTATCCCATGGAAGTCTAGCTACTATATATTTGAGACAGTTTTTTCTGTCTGTTTGTTTGAGAACTCCTCCTAAATTGTAAGAGCTAGGATCACCAAATTTGATATTCAGCTTCCTCTTATCATAACTCAAAGCAAGCTCAGGGTTTGGATGTGCCAGGAAAATGGGATGTGCCTGGAATGGGATTGCTTCTCATAAAGCCATTCAGAAAAGAGACAGTCTCGGCAGCCGGGGGCCGGCTGCGGCAGCTGGCTGGAGGCGTGCCTCCACTGTCTGTTGGGGATTGCCCCAACCCCAAGCCTCCCACCCCCAGGTGCTCTTTAGTGCTCTTTACTCCCAATTCATATGGGACCATTTCTGTGTGTTCCCCCGAAAGTGCACAGTTTGCTGCATTCCTCACTCTGGCCGGGGAGTGCAGGGGGCAGACAAGTTGTGCACTGGATTCTCACTCTGTGACAGTGACAGGAAGGAGAAGAACAAGCAGCCCTGTGATGAATCTCAGAGGAGAGCTTTGGCCCTCCTGCCATCCCCACCCCAGAGATTCCCCTGCCCAGAGCCCCTCCTCATCCCTTAACCCTGACTCCTGCACTCCCCACTCCTCCGACCCCTGCTTTGAGCTCCTTCTTAAGGACCCAAGCAATGCTTGGTAAATGTGCTAGTTATCTACATAGTAGAGGTTGATAGAAAAGGAACCCAGAAAAGGAAGTTGAGTTTTAAAAGGCAGATGTATGACAAGGGAAATATTAATTTAAGATTGAACACTGCATTACTCAAAGAGTTTTGCAAAACGAAAGGAACTTAACATATTTGTTAAGGGCAAGGTTCAAAATGTATGAGAGTCAACTGTGTATGTTTTACATTGGTATGTATAATTTCATTTAAACAAAGGAATATTTACTTCTGGCAACAATGTGGTGAATCTTTATCTCTAAAATAGTCCTTATGTACATGGAATGTAGTTTGCACTATATTTTAGGGGCTTGTTTGCAAAAGCCTAACTTGTACAGTTGAGTTCAAAATTTGCCATATGCCTGGTTTCTTTTCACATCCAGAGTATTGCGTCCAATTCTGGGGCCCCATTACAAGGGCTGGACCACATGACCTACAAGGAGAGATTGAGGGATTTGGGCTTGTTTAGTCTGCAGAAGGGAAGAGTGAGGGGGGATTTGATAGCAGCCTTCAACTGCCTGAAGGAGGGTTCTGAAGAGGATGGAGAGAGGTTGTTCTCAGTAGTTACAGATGGAAGAACGAGGAGCAATGGTCACAAGTTGCAGTGGGGGAGCTCTAGGTTGGATATTAGGAAAAACTATTTCACTAGGAGGGTGGTGAAGCACTGGAATGAGTTACCTAGGGAGGTGGTGGAATCTCCATCCCTAGAGGTGTTTAAGTCCTGGCTTGAGAAAACCCTGGCTGGGATGATTTAGTTGGGGTTGGTCCTGCTTCGGGCAGGGGGCTGGACTCAATGACCTCCTGAGGTCTCTTCTAGCTCTAGGATTCTCTGAATGTTTCATCATGAGCCAAATACAGATTTGCATGTATGCAGATCTGGTAACTGGATTTATCCATAATAAAGCTACATATACAAATTCAGTCTGCACAGATCATTCTAATCTTTTAAGTGTGTGGCAGTCTGGGAATGTAAAAGTGCCTGCATAGAAATTTGCTCGCACAAAGTCGTGGAGGCAGTATTAGAAGCCAGTTTGAACATTTGTCATTTTCTTTAAACAATCATTAATCACCATTATAATCATGATTTTTTTAAAATTATGTATCATCTCACTGTTTAAAAGGATCTTATTTTGTCCCAGCCTGTGTCTGGCCACAGCAGACATATATATATATATATATACACACATATATATGTATATATATATGGGACTTTTATAATTGGGACTTTTTTTGGGCAGAGGGTCACCATCTATAGTATGTATAGTAGGGTGTGATGTAGTGGTGGTGCTGCCTTTCTGTAACCCGGGATTTCCCTGTGCTGTGATGTGTGATTCCCACTGACTCACCAACATGTGTATTGGCCCAGACACCTAGTCCCAGCCTGAGCAGTTAACAAGGCTCTTCACAAGGGGAGAGACAAAGGAAGGGAGGTGGAGACAAACACCTGGCTGGGGGTCAGAGTCTGGGAGTGAGGCAATTTCTGGCTGGGAAACATAAAAGGAACAGACTAAGCTGAGTGCTGAGAGTTGAGGGGGTGATGGACCCCCAAGGGGTCTGAGGCATCCTAGCCCTGACTCCTATAGCCACATCACATCTATGCTGTACTGTATCCTGGAGAAGCAATAATCCCTCTCTATTCTACTGGCTGGCAGAGTCTCACCTTGCTGCAGATGGGGTGCAGGGTCGGAGGATACATGATATGCTGCCACAATGGTGTCAGAAGTGTGATGCACTGCACCCCGTCGATGGAGCTTCCAGCAGCAAGTGATGGGGTGCAGTAGAAGGAAGGGGCTTGCAAGAGCCAGATGTACTGGAGGCAGAGTGAAGCAATTCTTGTGAGTTGTGGGGCACTGCAGCACTCGGTCGGTGACTATACCCCAGGGATCGGCAGGGAGATGCCCTACGCCTGACTCCTGAAGGCAGACCTTGTGGGGCTGTGCAGAGAGAGAGGCCTGCCCATGTTGGAAAGCAACCAAGGCCCAGCTGATTGCCCGGCTGGAAGAGAATGACCAGACCAGGAGCCATCCTATCCCAGCAGGGAGCAGCCAGACACCCCCTGGGAGCATCTCAGGCTCTCAGACCAGAGGGAAGGCTGGAGTCCACCAGACAGATGTGGTACCCACCAGGCCACGCCCCATCAGCAGTTCATCCAGGGCAGGATTCATCCCGGCAGAGCTGAGACTCCTGGAGATTGAGCAGAGACTAAAGGAATTGGAGGCACAAGAGAAAGAGTGGCAAGACCGTAAGTAGGAGCGCCAGGAACGAGAGAGACAGCAGCAGCATGAACTGACCATGGTGGAGCGGAGAAGGTGAGGGGCCCCAGCTGTGATGAGTGGGGAGGACCCCAGGAGGCCCGGGACGGCCAGACACTTTGAGAAGCTTGTGCAGGCCCAATGTAAAGATGTGGGGGCCATGGACGGGTTCCTCAGTTCCTTTGAGTGAGCCTGTGAGCTCCACCAGGTCCCCCAGCTCCAGCAGCTCACCCCCTTGCTGCATCAAGAGTCTCCAGGGTGCTCAACTAGCTGGAGAATCTGCAGCTGGGGGACTATGAACAGGCCCTGCTGCACAAGTTCGGGCTGACCCCCGAGACGTACAGGAAGAAGTTCCAGGGGGCGCTGAAGGGGCCAGGGGAGACCTATGTGGATCTGGCCTCCCGCCTGGCGCAATCCTGCCGCAAGTGGGTGTTCGGGGTCGGGGCCTAGACCGCAGAGGACCTGCTTAAGCTGATTATGCAGGAAGTGCCTTCCTCTGAAAAGCGGATTTCGCTGAGTGCAGCGATGTCAACATCCAGCCTAGTGAGTTCATGCGCAATTAAAGCGGATCGTCGCTCAGGTCGAGTGCTGTCGGCTGAGTCTAACATGGTTCTGATGTTCCAGCATGCGAGTTTAAGTCCTTTCCCACCTTTTAAGGTGAGTGGGATGCGCCGTTGATTCTTTGATATAGTTCGACCGCATATGGAGTTGCCCGTTGACCGCGGTAAGCCAACTGGGGGAGGAGGAGACGAGCTTTGTTTAGGCCACCTTTTCTAGGCCCCTCTCCGTATGGAGCAAGCAGTGCTGTCCCTAGAAAAGGCTGCTTGGTCGCTAAGGATGCTGCCGAGTGATGATGTCGTCTCCAGGTCATCATCAGACGACCACTAGCGCCTGAGCCGCCTGCATGCAGGATTGAGACTGCGGCTGCCAGTGTCATCTTACACCTGCCGAGTTCGCCCCTTTCCATCGCTACAGGACTTAGTGAGACCGGAGGGAGTAGACGTGAGTATTTCCTTCTTGCCTGCGCAAAGGAGTTTTCAAGTGGAGTGCAGTGTGCGCAGAACTGGCTCCACCCTTTAAACCCGGGGTTCAGCTGCCATGGCCTAGCAAGCTGGGACGGTGACAGCGAGGTCCTCGGGCCGTAGGTTTTACATCAGAGTTGCCTTCTCCTAGGCAGACGGCCTTCCAGGGCTGAAGAGATCCACCTTCCCTGCTATTTCAAACCATAGCTGGAAGGCCACAGCCGCAATCCGCAATAACGAAGTGGCGCACCTTGGTCCCGAACACTTGGCCATTGGGTCCTAACGAGACCCTTCCGCCCTGGCCGGTGACTCCATCGTGGGAATTCATTCACCCAGTGATGCAGTGAACACATCACCCCCTCACGTTGTTTAGTCCGCCAGCTGAAGCGGTTTACCGGGGTGTGGCACTAGGAGCCAGACGTGAGAGATTTAGGAGATGGATGAGGACCAGTGCTTCCGTCCGCTCAAAAATTGAGTGCAGCTACCAGAAAACAAAGGTACTACCTCTACCCAGAGCTCCCTACCTCCCTATCATCGATGTACGCTAGGGCAAAGCCCCCAATCCCCCACAGCAGCTGGTCCACCAGGCGCTGGAAGGTGGCCGGTGCCCCCTTAAGGCCAAAGGGCAGGACCAGGAACTCATAGAGCCCCACCAGGGAGATAAACGCCGATTTTAGCCTGGCCTCAGGGTCTAGTGGCACCTGCCAGTAGTCCTTAGTGAGCAGGGGCAGATGACTGTTTTGCGGGGCCCCGGGCAGCATAATTTCGCGGGGCCCCCCCTTTGCCACGGTGCATGTGCAGTGACGCCATGTGCATGCGCGGAGGCGCCAAGGCGCATGTGCGGGGCTTTTTGAAGCGCGGGGCCCAGGGCGGCCGCCCTGTTCGCCCTGCCCTATATCCGCCCCTGTTGGTGAGGTCCAGGGTGGTGAGGTAGCGAGCTCCCCCCAGCTTGTCCAGGAGCTCGTCGGGCCCAGGCATGGGGGAGGCGTCGGACACCGTGATAGCATTGAGCTTCCGATAGTCCACGCAGACTTGATCAACTCGTCCTTCTTGGGAACCAGAACTACCGAAGAGGCCCAGGGGCTGGAGGGCGGCTGGATCACCCCTAGCGCCAGCATGTCCCGGACCTCTCTCTCCAGGTCCTGGGCCGTCTTCCCCGTGACTCTGAATGGGGAGCAGCGCACTGTGGGGTGAGAGCCTGTCTCCACCCGGTGGACAGCCAGGTTGGCGAGACCAGGCTTGTCGGAGAACAGCTGCCAGCAGGAGCGCAGCACCTCTCGGATCTTGGCCTGCTGGGCCAGGGTGAGCTGGTCCGAGGGGGAAATTGACTCCAGAGAAGAGTCTGCTGCAGTCCCAGGGAACAGAGACACCAGGGGATCCTCCCCGTGCTCCTCCCAGAGGAGGCGGTTGTCCTGACTACTAAGCTCCCAGAGAGAGGACCACCAGGTTCGCAGACGCTCGGGTGGTGCCCAGAATCCGCCTTATCGCCATCCCCATACCTGCCTAAGATGCAAGCTTGGGTGGGGGAGGGTGTGACAGTGGGGCGGGGTCCCCCCAACCCTGCACTCCCGTAGCAGCAAGAACAGACCTGCCGGCCGGTAGAACAGGGGGCTTATTGATCCTCCAGGACACAGCCCAGCACAGACGGGAGGTGGCTACAGGAGTCCAGTCCTCGTAGAACGAGGTGTACCAGTAATTCGGATTAGAGAGCCTAATTCGAACTACCTACCCCGTGCCGTGTGTAGCTGCGGACACAGAGTCCGCACTAACGAGGATTTAAAAATGGCGGCAAGATGCAAATGAAGCCCGGGATGGGGCTCGGGGCCCGTGGCTCCCGGGAGGGGATGGGGCTCGCGGTGCTGCCTGCCCAGAGCAGCCCTTCCTGCATCCCTGACCTCCCAGCCCCACCGGCTGGCTTCTCGACATGCAGAAGTGGTCTGGCTCCGTGACGCAGCCCTGGGGCCAGGCCAGGCTGGTTCCTCTCACTTCCCCTCTGCCGCACCCTCGCATTTCCCCGCCTCGCGCAGAGCACGGAGGGTGCGCCGGCTGGACCAGCCCCTCTGAGCAGGGTGAGTTTGGGTGTTTGGGAGTCCCAGGGCTCGGGACTGCAGGAATGGGCATAGCGCCTTCTCTGCATGGGGGGCAGAAAGGACGTGAGTGGGGAGCCCCACCAGAGCTGGATGGCAGAAATCAGGACACAGGAGCTGTGGGGCGGGGTGAGGGGCACCGGCAGGGCTGGG